AATGAATATTTGGTAAGCTAACCTTTCAGATTAAGTTAATATTAAATAGTAAATTAATATTTTTTTAATATGATATTAGAGTTTTGAACTCATAGATGTCCCACATTCGTTTGTAACTTTTTTTTTAAAAAAAAAAAAGAAAAAGGAAAAGCAAAACAAGAAAGAAAACAAGTGGGACAGAGGGCGATGATGGGTCATGGGTGTGCACGAAGAAACAGTTCACATGCATTAGGCATGGCCTGCCTTTTACAAACAATGAAGATGCACCCATTGTTTCTCCAGGTTGTCATTTCTCAATCTATTAACAAAAATATTGAACCAGAATTTAAATCTTTCGCAAATAAATAATCTTTTAAGTAGCTTTTTGGTTAAAAAAACTAATTATTTCTTAAAATATAATTTATGTTTTACATGGAGATGTAAGAATTTATATAGCCAATTTGTGTGTGCGTCTTTAAGCTTGTAAAGGTAAGCAAACCGAGTCTCGCACCATCATTCGGTCATCGCTATACTCGTACCACATGGGTGACACACCGTGCAATTGACTCATGGTAATGGACAGCATGAAACTTAGTTCAAGGAAGAGATCGTTGGGTATGCAAACAAAATCTCACATTGATAGTTGAAATGATTAGGAGCTTGCATATAAGGTGTAATGATCTTTTAATGATGTAAGACATTTTAAAGAATACCATGCGGGCTTAACTTATAACGGATAATAAAACACCATATTAAGAGTATCTTTGTATAACCATGCCATAAGTATTTCTTAAAATATATTATGTTTTAAATGGAGAAAGTAGCCGATCCTAATTTTATTATTATTATTATTATTATAACACGTAACATTTTAAAATTAAGCCGTTCGATTGTAACAACAAATTTTTCAATTCACCAATGGGGGCCTCCACAATTTTATCCACTTGAACAAATATCAGATTGAAGTAACTATTTGTTTGTATTTTCATGTCATGAAAAAGGAGGGAGGCAAGAAGTCATATCAGGAATCCTTCTAAAGTTAAATAAAAGAGAAGAATCATTTCTTTTTCTTAAACGGCTGTTCTCACTCCAATTTAGATTAGAAAAATTATCGCTAACACAAACATATGTAACATTCGAATCCAACCTTTAATTATTGGAGACGAAACAAAAATAGATTGTCAATTACAGCTACAAAGTACGGACATGCCACTTGTTCTTGGATAAATAGAGTAAACCTTTTCTTTTGTCACGCAAAATTAATGTACAAAGAACATGTTACCCATCTCATCCTCAAAACAAAACTTTCTAGTGTTACTTTTGTCTTTCAACAAAAAGGAAGAAAAGGCAAAAAAGTAATAATATTGTACTTTAGCATCCCTAGTCCCCACTCCATGTCCACTATTACAATAGTAACAATTCTTTTCTTACTTCGACGAGGTAATATATCTCGAGACTTCATTAATTACAAGGTTGAAGATCATTCACTAATTTGATTTATTGTAGAATATAAAATAAATAATTTGAACAAGAGTTCACATTATATGTATTTTGATAATGTAAATTTTGACAATATTGATAATGATATTTTATTTTTGGGCTACCATAAAAGATTTGATCCGAAAAATTACATGATGTTATTGGTCAAATTAAGCTGATGACGTAATAAACTATACATTAACAGTGTACATAACTTAACCTCTAAAAACAATGGGCACTTTGTTTTCTAAACAATATGTATTACCAAAATAATTACTACTTAGTTGTTTCTTGGAAAATAAAAAATTACCGTATTGTTTTCTAAAAGACTGTTTCTAATATTAATTCATCCTAAATCATATTCAAACACAAACAGAAAAAGATTAAAATCAAGAAGGAGAGTATTTTGGAATCCGAAGGACACCAAAACTTTTGGAACTTTCTTCTTTTTTCTGTGGACAGAACTCTAATGGCAATGGCGGTTTTATAGAGACCACTGGTCGCCCTCAGTTTGAACAAGTTGTTACACAGTTCCCTTTCCTTTTTGGTTTTCGACAAGAGTTTTGATAGACTTGAATACAAACAAATCAGGTAATTTCACATGCCTTTGCTTCTTTGTTCCTTGAATTAACCTTATCCATTTTTAAAGTAATTAAAAAAGGACCCTAATCAATCTTGAACCACACATGATTATACTTCTTTATGACATTTGTGCATGGATAATTTGCATACATCTTAATTATTTTATCGAATATTAATTACTTCTAATGAAAAGGAGCATTGACGTAACTGGTAAAGTTGTTGTCAGGTGACCAAGAGGTTACGAGTTTAAGCCGTGAAAACAACCTAGCCTCTTGCAGAAATACAGGGTAAGATTGTGTACAATAAACCCTTATGGTCCGGCCATATCCCGGACCCCGCGCATAGCGGGAGCTTAGTGCACCGAGCTGCCATTTTTTATTTAATAATTACCTCTAATCATGCAATCGATAACTCTATCTATCAAGACTTAACTCATGTTTAGACAAATCAAAAAAGCCAGCCAATTCAATGTTTACCTTTTTTTTAGTCGATATACATAGATTATATATTAGTTATACACATATTATACATATATTATACATTCACCGCTAATTTTCGTTTAGAGATTAGGTGAGAGCGACTATTTGGGTTAATACTCTGTCACACATAGTAGTATTTTTTTTATCTCCACTCAAATTTGAATTGATCTTTCATTTAAAAAGATGCTAATCAACATGTAACCCTACATGATTGTATACGGTCAAAATCGTGCTTGCCCGATTTTGTATGGTTAATCGAGACCGGGGTGGCAAACCGAGGTTCAGTCCCAAGTTATATTGGATCGTTACATGAATAAATATTGCCTAGCTCGTGATTCAGGGATCGATCGAGATCGAGACCAGCTAAGGTCGAGACCGAAAAGGATAGGGATCTAGCGAGATCGAGGGAAGCCTACCAGGTCGAATAATAGAAAACCGAGGAATCCGTGACCGGGCGACGATTGTGGCGGAGATCTCGGTATATATCGAGTCAAGACCGGTTGATTAGCCCATCAGAAGATTTCCTTCTGTATTTAGAATTGTACCATATGAAAAACTCATCTACTATATAAAGGGGGTTCCAATCATTTTATAAAGGGACACTCATAACAAAGCAATATATTACGTTTTCTCTCTCAAGCTCTTTTATTCAGTTGTTCAGTTCTTACTTTTCAATAATATACTCAGTTGGTTCGAGGGCGACCTAGCTCGAGGGCCCAAGTTGCGCGTTACATTGGTTTGTTTTATTTTACAGTTAATTTCTAACTTCAATTCTTATATTTCTCAGTTTGTGCCAAGTAAAATCAAATATCCTTAAAATCACTTACAAATTTAATTGTTATCCGATTTTAAGGGTAAACAGTTTGGCGCCCACAATGGGGCCAAGGATAATAGTGATTGCCTGGTGCTAATTTTCATAACACACACTGCTTTACACTTATTCTTATAAGCATTTTTTATTCCAGGATCAGCATGTCGAACTCTCAAGCAGTATCCACACACATCGACAATGGTCTTGGTTTTCATGGCGAAAACGACAACGTAGCCGCCCCAGAAAACGAAGTGCTTCCAGTTGATCTCGAGGGAGTACCAGTTGTAGACCCCATCAACGTCAGTTCCCATGTTGCCCTGAATACAAATCTGGGCGTCGACCCCGAAAATAGCATCCGCAAAGACGTTCGATCAGCCGGTCAGAATGCACAGAGCGGTGAAGAAGGAGGAATCAACCTTCGAATAATATTCGAAATGCTGCAGGCTTAACAAGTTGCAATAACACAACTTCAAAATCAGAACCACGCACTAAGTAGGGTCGAACCCGAGCCATCACAGAAAGTTGTTCACAAGGCCGAACCAGTCCCGGGGAGGTCAAATATGAATAAGTTAGGGACCGACCCCGCTATCTTGAAAATGCTCGAGGAGCTGACAAAGCAAATTGAATCGAGGGAGAAGAAGATTGAAGGGAATGACAAAAAAGTGGAAACATATAACTCCCGAGTTGATCAAATTCTGGGGGCACCACCGATTTTGAAGGGTTTGGATTCAAAGAAGTTCGTACGAAAGCCCTCCCCCCCGAGCGTGGCTCCTAAGCCCATTCCAAAGAAGTTCCGTATGCCAAAAATTCCCAAGTATAATAGAACTAGTGACCCCAACGAGTATGCCACTTCTTACACATGCGCAATAAAGGGGAACGATCTAGAGGACGATGAGATTGAGTCCGCACTGCTGAAGAAATTCGGAGAAACTTTATCAAAGGGGGCGATGATATTGTACCATAATTTTCCTCCTAACTCCATTGATTCTTTTGCCATGCTCGATGATTCCTTCGTCAAAGAACACGCCGGAGCGATAAAGGTCGAGACTAGAAAATCAGACCTCTTCAAAGTAAAACAGAAAGACAACGAGATGCTTAGAGAGTTCGTATCTCGGTACCAAATGGAGCGCATGGATCTTCCCCCAGTCGCCGACTATTGGGCCGTTCAGGCTTTCACTCAAGGCCTAAACATACGAAGTTCGGTATCCTCACAACAGTAGAAGCAAAACTTGATCGAATATCCAGCTGTAACTTGGGCCGACGTATATAATCGGTACCAGTCAAAGATTAGGGTCGAGGGTGACCAGTTGGGGACTCCTTCCGGATCCGTTTATCCAAACAGGACCATCGACAGAGTTAAAAGGGATATTGACCGGGAACCACGGTCAAACAGAGATCGATATCAGCCATACGTTGGAGATCGGAGAAACAACGGGCCTGGACGCCACCCCGTTCGAATTGGTAGAAGAAATGATCGATGACAGAGCTCTCGAGGGCTCATGAGTAAAAGAAGTTTCGATAGAAATGTCGAACCCAAAGAAGCACCACGACTATCGGAATACAACTTTAACATTGATGCATCAGCTATTGTATCGGCCATTGGGCGCATCAAAGACACCAGGTGGCCTCGACCTCTATAGACTGATCCGGATCAGAGAAATCCTAATCAAATGTGCAAATATCATGACACCCATGGTCATAAAACAGAAGATTGCACACAGCTGAGGGAAGAGGTAGCCCGTTTGTTCAACGAAGGGCATCTTCGAGAATTCTTAAGCGATCGGGCTAAAAACCATTTAAAGAACAGAGATTCAAATATACAGAATGAGCAAGAAGAGCCGCAACATGTGGTCCACATGATTATTGGAGGGGTCGATACTCCTCAGGGGCCCGTATTCAAACGCACCAAGGTGTCGATCACGAGGGAAAAGCGTACTCGAGACTACGTACCAGAAGGAACCCTGTCTTTCAATGACGAGGATGCAGAGGGGATCTTACAACCCCACAACGACGCACTGGTAATATATGTCCTTATGAATAAAATTCAAGTTAAACGTGTTTTGATTGATCCAGGTAGCTCGGCCAACATTATTTGATCGAAAGGTCATAGAACAGCTCGGCCTACAAGATCAAATTATGCCCGCAGCCTGAGTACTTAACGGCTTCAACATGGCAAGCGAAACCACCAAATGTGAAATTACTTTGTCAGTGAACGTGGCCGGGACCATCCAAGAAACAAAGTTCCATGTGATCGAGGGTGACATGAGGTATAACGCCCTGCTTGGAAGGCCGTGGATCCATGAAATGACAGGGAGTCAAAGCAGTGTACGGAAGAACAACCCGCCAGCAAGGAGATGTTTGCAGTCGATGAAGTGATACCGGTATCGGCGCTCTCATCAACGAAGGGATCGGATTCGAAGGGAAAGCAGGAGGCCAAATAGCAACCACAGACACCGACCTCGACCCAATTACTGAAGCAAGGGATCGACGAGGATAACGACTACTGGATCCCTCGATCCTTCATAATTCTCGATGACTACGACGCCACCATATCGATGGTCGAAGAGCTGGAATAAGTCACACTGGCCAAGCATCAGCCCGAACGAAAGGTATACCTCGGCACGGGGCTAACCCCAGAGCTCAGGAAAAAATTTATTCATTTCCTTAAAGCTAACATGGATTGCTTTGCTTGGTCCCACCTCGATATGACACGGATCCCACCAGAAATTACCACTCACAAACTGAGCCTGGACCCTAAATTCTGCCCGGTGAAGCAAAAAAGAAGGCCCCAGTCCGAGGTCAAACATGCCTTCATCAAGGACGAGGTAACCAAACTTCTCAAAATAGGATCCATTCGGGAAGTAAAGTATCCCAAATGGTTAGCAAACGTAGTGGTAGTCCTTAAGAAGGGAAACAAACTTAGAATGTGTGTAGATTATAAAGACCTGAATAAAGCATGCCCCAAGGATTCTTTTCCTTTGCCTAATATCGATCGTATGATCGATGCTACGGCCGGCCACGAGACTCTCAGTTTTCTCGATGCCTACTCCGGGTACAACCAGATACAGATGAACCCGGAGGATCAGGAAAAGACCTCGTTTATCACTAAGTACGGTGCCTATTGTTATAATGAAATGCCATTCGGTTTAAAAAATACTGGTGCAACTTATCAACGCCTAGTAAACCGAATGTTCGAAGAACAAATAGGAAAATCAATGGAAGTTTATATTGATTACATATTAGTTAAGTCCCTGCGAGTAAAGGACTATTTAATGCATTTACAAGAGACTTTCGATATACTGAGGAAGTACAATATGAAGCTCAAACCCGAAAAGTGTGCATTCGGTGTTGGCTCGGGCAAGTTTCTTGATTTCATGGTGTCCAATCGGGGAATCGAGATCAACCCCAATAAAATCAAAGCTATCGAGGATATCACGGTAGTGGATAATGTAAAGGTCGTGCAGAGGTTGACGGGGCGGATATCCGCCCTAGGATGATTCATTTCGAGATCCTCAGATAGGAGCCACTGATTCTTCTCGCTGCTTAAGAAGAAAAGCAATTTTTCATAGACTCCGTAATGACAGCAGGCCTTGGAGGAACTAAAACGGTATATATCGAGCCCGCCACTGCTTCACACCCCGAAAGTGGACGAACAACTTTACTTGTACTTGGCAGTCTCGGAGATAGCGGTAAGCGAGGTCCTGGTCCGAGAAGAACAAGGTACGCAATTCCCTGTCTATTATGTTAGTCGGACCTTAGGTGAGGCCGAAACTAGATATCCACACTTAGAAAAATTAGCGCTTGCTTTAATAAGTGACTCTAGGAAACTAAAACCATATTTCCAATGTCATCCAATATGTGTTGTAACAACTTATCCTCTTCGAAATATTTTACACAAACCCGAGCTTTCGGGTCGATTGGCCAAATGGGCCGTAGAAATCAGTGGGTACGATATTGAGTATCGACCCCGAACCGCCATCAAGTCTCAAATCTTGGCGTACTTCCCGGCTGACTTTATGTCGGCCCTCGTACCCGGGGTTGAAAAAGAACTATTGATAAAATTGGGTACATCTTCGGGAGTCTGGACCCTCTTTACGGGCGGTGCTTCGAATGCAAAAGGGTCCGGATTAAGCATTGTACTAAAATCACCCACAGGTAATGTAGTTAGACAGTCCATCAGAACTACAAAATTGACTAGCAATGAGGCCGAGTATGAGGCCATGATTGCAGGTCTCGAACTAGCTAGAAGCTTGGGGGCGGAGGTCATAGACGCTAAGTGTGATTCCCTCCTCGTGGTAAAACCAAGTGAACAGGACTTTTGAAGTCCGAGAAGACCGAATGCAAAGGTACTTGGATAAACTACAGATGACTCTACATCGGTTTAGGGAATGAACCTTATAACATGTACCTCGAGAACAGAACAGTGAGGCCGACACTCTTGAAAACTTAGGTTCATCCGTCGAAGACGACGAACTCAACTCGGGGACTGTCGTACAACTCATGAAATCAATAATCGAAGAAGGTCACACCGAGATAAACTCCACAAGTTTAACCTGGGATTAGAGAAACAAGTACATAGAGTACTTAAAGAATGGGAAGCTTCCATCAGATCCAAAGGAGTCGAGAGCTCTGCGCACAAAGGCAGCACGGTTTACTTTGTCCGAAGACGGATCGCTGTTTAGAAAGACGTTCGATGGACCGTTAGCTATATGTTTGGGACCGGTTGATACCGACTACATCTTATGGGAAGTTCACGAGGGCACTTGTGAAAATTATTCCGGTGCTGAATCACTGGTCCATAAAGTAATCAGAGTAAGGTACTATTGAACCGATATGGGGAAGGATGCAAGGGAGTTCGTTCGAAAATGCGACAAATGCAAAAGGCATGCGCCCATGATTCATCATCCCGGGGAACTACTCCACTCGGTCCTGTCCCCATGGCCCTTCATGAAATGAGAAATGGACATCGTTGGCCCTCTCCCCGTCAACCCCAGGTAAAGTTTAATTTATTTTATTTATGACTGATTATTTCTCTAAATGGGTTGAAGCACAGGCTTTCGAGAAAGTCAGAGAAAAGAAAGTCATAGACTTCATTTGGGACCACATCATATGTCGATTTGGGATTTCCTTCTAAATTGTATGTGATAATGGAAAATAATTCATCGGCAGCAAAGTAACTAAATTTCTCGAGGATCACAAGATTAAAAGGATCATATCAACACCTTATCATCCCAGCGGGAACGGACAAGCTGAATCGACCAACAAAACCATCATCCAAAATCTTAAGAAGAGATTGACCGACGCCAAAGGAAAATGGAGAGAAATACTACCCGAGGTTCTATGGGCATACCGCACAACATCGAAATCCAGCACCAGAGCAACACTGTTCTTGTTAGTTTATGGCGCCGAAGCTCTGATCCCGATCGAGGTCGGAGAACCTAGCATTAGGTTTTGATATGCAACAATGGAGTCGAATAACGAGACCATGAATACGAGCCTAGAATTGTTGGACGAAAGACATGAAGCCTCTCTCATCCGATTGGCCGCTCAAAAATAGCAGATCGAAAGGTACTACAATCGAAGAGCCAATCTTCGACATTTTAACATTGGGGACTTGGTGCTAAGAAAAGTTACCCTCAACACCCGAAATTCGAATGAAGGGAAACTGGGTCCGAACTGGGAAGGACTATACCAGGTTCTTGAAATTATCGGAAAAGGATCCTACAAGCTCGGCATGATGAATGGCGAACAACTTCCGAGCAATTGGAATGTATCGCACCTAAAATGATACTACTGCTAAGGTACGACCCCTTCCATTTTTATTTATATTTTAAACTAACCCTTGCAGGTGTTCGACCAGAAACAACGATGGATTCTTCGACACGAAGCCTTTAGGTTTGAAAGGACGCGTTGTACTCTTTTTCCCTTAGACCAGTTTTGTCCCAAATGGATTTTCCGGCGAGGGTTTTAATGAGGCAACCATTGATTGTGCTAACTTAGAACAATTCAACGAGTATCCGAGGTTATTTTACAATCAACCTCAAATACTGGGGGGTATTGCCCTCGAATGTTAACTTTGATGCGAAGAAATTACTTCATGGTAGCAGGGTTTCGATAGGAAAAATTTGTAAGGGCCAAACGGTCAAACGAACCGTGCCCGCGTAGTTTGCTCGAGCCTTGGCACAGAACATGTATGCATGTATAATCATTTATAAAGAGAAGTATTTTTCTTTGCCGATAATTCATGCTTTAGAAATATTTTTCTACTTTACAATTTCATACTCTCGATCTATTATGTAAACAGGCTTAAGGGCCGACCATAACCGGAGTTCGAATAATTACCCCCACGCTCAGATAAACAGGCTTAAGGGCCATCCGAAAAATAAACGAGACTGAATCATTAAAACTTCGAGATCATAAGACCTTTTAGGCAACCCTCAATTTTTATAGGCCAGGCCACCCCACTCGGGGACATACACTCTGGGTAAGCTCGAAGTAAAATGGGAAAATAAGCCAAGGGGAAAATCCCAAACTAAAAAGGCTACGGCCGAATTAACACGGTTCGGAGACGTCCAAATTCCATAACAAAATAGGCCTTCGAATTCCCTCATAAACCGGTTAAAAGGGCTACCCTCGGCAAAATCATAAAAGGCTTCGATAATATCAAGCCTCGAAAACTCTAATGAGTACAAAATTGTTCGAACTCCCGAACAGTTCCTTATTGCATGCTAAAGCATTACAAGTTTTTCAAATACAAATGATAAAAAACTTTTTCAAGCCGAAAAGGGGAGAAAGCCACAAACAATCTTTTTACAAAGGCTATATGGGCCTAATACAAAAGCCTAAGGGGGTTGTTTTTGCTTTGAGTTCGAGAGATCATCTTCGCTCAAATAAAAAATCTAAGGGTTACCTTACTTCGAGTTCGAGCAAGCACTCACTCGATCGTAAAGCCTAAGATCTATACTAGCTCGGTTTCAATCAAATTATCTAAACCTCAGACCTTAGAATACAACTTCATAATTTTATAAGGTAGAAAGGAAGAAAGTTTTTATATATATACACATCAAAAATCATTTACAAAGGCAACATGGCTCGATCAAATTTCTCTACAAAAGACTGAAACAGTCTTAAAAGAAATACAAAATAATACTAAAGGACTTAGTCATCTCCGGGAGCAGTATCTCCGCCCTCGAGGCCTCCTTCGCTTTCAGATCCGCTCATACTCCTGGTATCATCATCATCAGGAAAGGCCAACATTCTGTCTTCGGCTTCAAGCTCCTTAGCATTCTCGATCTCGGTATTTTCTTGGGTTTTAGACCCTTAGAGTACAAGGCCCTTTTTTTTTTTAATCACTTTCGCCAGTTTCGAGATAGGCAGCAAGGATTCTTCATCACTGGACGGGGGTCTCATAGCCGCATCATTTACGAGACCTACAAAAGGAGAAAGTAAGTAAACTCATGTTTGAAAAGATGCTTGAACGATAGGCAAATCGGCAAGCCAAGAAGAAGGCTTACCATGAGTACGAGCCTCCCACCAGTCCTTTAACAAATCGCACCACACACGCTCGGCGTATATTGACGTCGAAACCAGGCTCCTGACCCAGTTCTCGAGGTAGGGAACCGCACCCGGCATCCAAGCAACGGCTGCATCGAGAAAAACACTGATAAGAAAAGATGAAGAAGTAAAAATAACAAAAACTGAAAACGGGATCGTACTTACGTTTCATATTCCATTTCTTAGGAAATGGCATACTCTCAACCGAGATTAGGTCCGAGGTCTTCACCCGAACAAACCGGCCCATCCAGCCCCGGTCTTTGTCTTTATCTATACTCGAGGTGAACGCCTTGGTGGCCCAGTGTTGAAGCTTTATCAGCCCACCTCGGTAGAGTCGAGGGCTATATAATCTTACGAGGTGGTCGAGGGTGAAGGGAACCCCGTCGATTTTGCTAACAAAGAAACAGAGCAGTATCACGATCCTCTATAAAGAAGGGTGAATTTGGCCGAGGGTCACCTGGTATTTCTTGCAAAAATCGAAGATGACCGGATCGAGGGGACCCAACGTGAAAGGATAAGTGTAAACACTCAGGTACCCTTCCACGTGGGTAGTGATCGCTTCCTCCGGTGCCGGTATCACAACCTCTTTATTTTCCCAATAGCAATCTTTCTTCACCAGATCAAGAAGACTTTTGGGTAGCGAGCATATATATCTCGATACCGGCTCGCATCGACCAGTAACCGATGAGGTTTTCTCGACCTTAAAATCGGAATCAATAACACACACCCCAGGAATAAGTTCCTCAAGGCGTGGCTCCACCACTGGTTTCTCGCCGGCCGGCCGAGATGAGGAAGCATCCTCTTTCTGCGGAACGGTTTTAAATATTTTTGCCATTTAGTTTTTGTGAACGAAGGAGAATGGAGATTGAAGTATTTCGTGTTTTAAGAAGAACAAACAACGAAATTTGAAAACCTGTAAATATGGAGCTTTGGAGAAGGCAAAAAACTATGAAGATAGGAATGGAATAGTTTCGTAAATAAAAGTTTGGAATGATGAAGAAAAGGGCTATTTATTGTTTTCAACGACAGTTCAAAACTGGTAGTGGTCGACCGTCGATTGACGCGCATGAAATACCTGGGGAACTGTACCGACGAGACGTTTCTGTCACTTTTACTGCTTATGTCACGGCGATTACGTCATGATCGAAGGCTCAAATCGTTTCTTGTCATTACTCTCCAAAAAACGATGGGACTATTTGTATACGGTCAAAATCGTGCTTGCCCGATTTTGTATGGTTAATCGAGATCGGGGTGGCAGACCGAGGTTCAATACCAAGTTATATTGGATCGTTACATGAATAAATATTGCCTAGCTCATGATTCAGGGATCGATCGAGATCGAGACCAGCTAAGGTCGAGACCGAGAATGATAGAGATCTAGCGAGATCGAAGGAAGCCTGCTAGGTCGAATAACAGAAAGCCGAGGAATCCGTGACCGGGCGGGGATTGTGGCGGAGATCTCAGCATATATCGAGTCAAGACCGGTTGATTAGCCAATCAGAAGATTTCCTTCTGTATTTAGAATTGTACCATATGAAGTACTCCTCTACTATATAAAGGGAGTTCCAATCATTTTGTAAAGGGACACTCATAACAAAGCAATATATTACGTTTTCTCTCTTAAACTCTTTTATTCAGTTGTTCAGTTCTTACTTTTCAATAATATACTCAGTTGGTTCGAGGGCGACCTAGCTCGAGGGCCGAAGTTGCGCGTTACATTGGTTTGTTTTATTTTACAGTTAATTTCTAACTTCAATTATTATATTTTTCAGTTTGTACCAATTGAAATAACATATTCTTAAAATTATTTATAAATTTAATTATTATCCGATTTTAATTGTAAACGATTATTAAACTAAACCGCAAGTTATTTTCTATTTTAATCACTAAATATTAAACGAAACGTGTCTGCTTGTAATAGCTAGTAGTATTTGTAGTGAAGAATAGTAGGGACCTCTACATGATTTTCTCTGCCCCACGTGTAAACTTCAATTACCTTCCTTCAATACCTTCCATTCAACACTCCCCTCAGATTTTATATCTATATATTACGGACTTTGAGACATTTTCATATGTTTTTATCACTACTGTATTAAGTTCACATCAATTACCGACATTTCAACCACATCTTTTGCATCCACTCTCTCCTCTTCTATATTATAGTAGTACTAGTAGTTGCTTATATCCATATTATTGTTGTTGAATTTGTTTCAATTATGACTCGTCCAGCTAGATTTCTGCTTAGTAACAGCTCTTCTTCAACTTCCCCTTCACCGCCGGCGGCGGAGCCACCATCTGCGGTGGCAGTGGAGTCTGACTTTGTCGTAATACTAGCTGCTTTGCTTTGTGCACTAATTTGTGTGGTGGGTCTCATAGCTGTTGCAAGATGCGCGTGGCTCCAGCGAGGAACCGGCGCCGGAGCAGGTGGAGCTGGTGGTCAGTCGGCGGCGGCGAACAAAGGGTTGAAGAAGAAAGTGTTACAGTCGTTGCCTAAGTTCACGTATGACCCCAGCAGTACAACGGCGAAAGGTACGCCGTTCACGGCGGAGTGTGCCATCTGTCTGGCGGAGTATGCGGTGGGAGATGAGATCCGTGTGCTGCCGCAGTGTGGCCATAGTTTTCACCTTCAGTGTATTGATACTTGGTTGGGTTCACACTCTTCGTGCCCTTCTTGTCGTCAAATTCTCGTGGTTGCTCGGTGCCGGAAGTGCGGTGAGTTCCCTGCAATTTCCCATAAAACCGACGGTGCTCCGGCTACAACTCCGGATGAGTCTCGTTCATGCGCTAGCTCAAGTAATTTTCTAGTCTAGAAAAAGAAAAAAAGACTTAGCTTTAAATTATATACGCCGATAATGTAAATGATCAAATCTAATTTACATTATCAGTGCAGTTTTACCAGTTGTAATCCGTCACTTATTGTGCTGTGCAAGTTAGGTTACTAATTTACCAAATTATCGCAGTAGTTATCTTTAGCGTGACTTATGTAAATTATTTTTACAAATTTAGTATATGTTGAAGTTAAAATTGATAGAGCTAATGCCGACCAAAGATTGTAACTGTAAAATGGTTAAGTGTAATTGTCAGAGAGTTTGGAAATGGACCCCATTGAAGGTGGTGAGGAGGTTGCTTCACTTTGTCTAGTAGTAGCTATAGAGGAAGAGATAAAGAGGAAGCAACATGCTTGACTGCTAGTGTTAATGGGAATGTAGAAGGTGACAAACTTGAAATGATAGGCGTGTTGGCTTCTTGTTAGGGAAATGCCAACTAGAAATGTAATTGTAGGGCAGATGGTTTGGAGTAATTGGTACTTCAATTTCTAGTTAAATTTCTTGTACAATTTACTTGTTGTAATAGTTTAAAAAACATAAGCTTCCTTTCTCTTGGGCTAATTTTTTGTTTGTTTTTGTGTTCTCTCCGAGAAATTACTCGCTTTGTGTGATCTTAGGCTGTTTACATGGAGGTGCGATTCTTCTTTGAAATATTGCGTGAGTGCGGGATGCCTAGCTTGTATGCGGGATGCCTTGTATGTACGTGATTTTCTTTTGCTGTTGTTCTCTTTCCAAGAAATTACTCCCTCCCGTGCGATCTTAGCTCCTTATTTTGACTTGCTATATTACCATCGAGAAAAGTCTTCAATGTGGATGCCATCCCTGCCTTGCTAAAATGAAACCTCTAGTTGAATCAAAATATGTATTTAGAGGCGGATTCAGAAATTTAACTTTTTGAGTTTAACTTTTGTTTTAATTCTATGGGTTTAACTTTTAATGTTTTAGTTTTGAACCCATTATATTTTTAACGTTATGAGTTCATAACTACTACTTATTATAATTTTACAAAACTTTTATACATTAATTTATACTTTATCGAAAGTATTAGATTCAGACGAACACGGTACAGCTATATAGCGGCAACCGCCCCTGAGTATGGTAGTTAATATAGGAAGGAAGAGTAGCTATATATGCGGCAACCGCCCCTGAGTATGGTAGTTAATATAGGAAGGAAGAGTAGCTTGTGTTATATATTCTTGGCATTTATATTTACTTCGTAGACTGTACGTAGCTTTATGCCTGTGACAGTTCGGGATAAAACAGGACCACTCTTGTGGAAACTACACTAGACTAGAAAGTACTCTAAAATATAGGAAGGTAGAATAATTTAATGAACAAAGCAATCCAGAATTAGTTTGGATAAAAAGGGACTATCTAAGCAGCTGAATATAACTATATCTCTAGATTCAGGATTGCTTAGTTGCATTTTATTTTTGATCTCATAAGGTTATTAGTCGAATCCAAAATCTAGTGCTAGAGGGTTCATAATAAATGTAATACTAATATATATCCATATTAGTACTTTTTATTTTGTATATGCATACTTGGTTTGAGTAAAAAATAATTGGTTAGTTGAACCCATAAAATTCATTTTAGATCTTCCTTTGGATAAAGTGACTGCCGCCTCTAACAATTTTTAACTTTAAAAAATGACATGCTGGGATCTTGAAGCATATTATAGTCCTAGTAATAGTTTCTTTGAATGGTAGTGATTGACTCCTCTGTCCTTATGCATAAATGAGTTCTAGTACTGGATCAAAAGGCACTTATCACTTTCTCAGTATGCAAGTTGTGGTAGTAGGAAAAGATTGAGGATGACCAAAACTATTTTAAAAAAGACTTCAGCTTTCCTTTTCAATTAAACAACCAATGCAGGATCTCGTCACCCTTGCATCAAGCTAGGGAAAAAGAGGAAGATATTATTTTGATTCGGATCAAGGGTGGGTTTGGTTAAACTCATTGTTTCACGCTCGTACTTGTATATATATGTATGCCAAAATTAAAATGTATACACATAATAAGATCACTAATTCATAATCTTGAATTGGCTTATGATGTCATTCATGCCACACCCTTTGGAGCAATTTCTATTTTTTCCCTCAAAAGGAGGAACATCTTCAAAAGAGAAAAGGAAATAATAAAGCAAGATAAAGACGAGGAGTAGTGGATACAAATTAACTTTTCTTTGTTGCACCCAACTTGTGATTCTGTAGCCACAAAAACACTTGAAAAATAAAGATCTCTTTTTCGAAAGGAATACTAGGAGTATATTATAGTAATGATATTGCACAAAAGGGAAGATGAATATAAAACTAACTGCCTTTTAAGAAGAGATATATACTTAAATTAGTAGTAGTTTTACTCGACATCCTCAGATATATGCCTGCTACCTTTGACTAATAACCACCATTCTTTTCTTGAAACGCTTGGCTAGACATCGTTCCCGGGCCGGCCGGGAAAAGCATCGCACTAAATAGGCATAGTAGTGCGCCACGATTTTAAAACAATTAGATTGTCTAATTACTACAAACAATGTTTCTCACTAATTAGTATGCTTTTCTTGGGTTGATGCAACGCATCAATGAGTAGTTTGCTTCAGGACCTCAGAAAAAGAAAAAAATTTCCTTCACTCATGAATGGAACATATTTTCTTTTATAATTATGTTATGATTACTATCAATCTTACTTTAGTCAGAGACGGATCCAAAATATAAGTTCTATGGGTTCAATATTTAAGATTAGCGTTGAATCAATTATATCTTTAAAATTATAAATTCTTATATACTAGTAGTTGGTGTAATTTTTATGAATTTTATATAAATTTATGCACCATGCTAAAAGTACTTAATTCAAATGAACATGATACCGAAAGGCTACATCCGTCCCTATCTTTAACATGCACAATTTTCATAAAAAACATTTTGGTTTGCTAATATTACTATCAGTCTTGAATAAATGTTTTCCTTTAATAATTTTTCTCACTCGTCAATCAAATACAGCTAGTGTTTGGACATAGATTTGGTTGAAACTTGAAAAAAAAAGTTTTAGAAATTGTGTTGAAAAATAATTTTTGGAAGTTGAAGTTGTGTTTGGAGATGCATTTTATTTTTTTTTTAAAAATTGAATATATATATATATATATA